CAAACATGTGGTGCAGCTTCAAACACGGTGAACTGCTGGTCCAGGTTCTCATCCAACACCAAAATAGCAGCCACGTTTCCGCATCTGGTAAGTCATTCATAAGGTCAGCTATGGACATGATTAACAGTAAGGCATGAATATATTTTTGTATCATCACTAGTGCAAATCAAATGTTTCTCTAGACTCTACATCCCTAACCGTCAAATTAATGAAGTATGTTATTTTAAAGACACATATAAGCAGTGGCTGATCGTTGGTTCTCTTGTTTTACTTTGGAAAGCAAACTGGGAAGAATTTTGAAGCTGTACCACAGGTTCACTCAGGACAGATGTAGCTAAAGGAAACAAATATACAATAAGGATGATAGTTTACAGCAATAGTCTTTTACAAGGTTAAACAAGTTGGATACAAGAGCTGGTTCTTGAGATTTTCATGGCAAAAAGTTCTCAAGAGCCTCAAATTTTCTCAAATTGGAGCCCGTGATTGGCTTACAAATCCCTAGATCTTTATTCGCAGACCTTCAGCATCGATGCTTTAAATCTTCAAGCTACATATATCTGCTAGGGTGACATCCTTAGATGATCTAAGGGACAAGACTCCAACTTTTATTTGATGGAGACGCATAATATTTTATCCAACAAAAATTTATGCAGCTTTTTTCATCTTAAGGAAACCATCATTTTTACAGTTTAAGATTGAAATGATTGTGGGAAAGATAATAACACTGAGAAAACAAAGGGAAGAGACATAAGTGCACTATCATATCTGAAAAATGGAAGCTGCAAATAACCAAATTTGAGCAAATAGAGGACGATAAGATTAACTAAGTTATTTTATAATAATGCCACTTCATACCCAGCATAAAAGTTTTGGAACTTTAAGAAAGACTTTTTTAAATTGGCTGAACTAGTGCACTGTACAGAAGATTCCGCGAACACGAGCTCATTATTTTCCTATATATATAAAATTTCTGTAAAATATAAACAAAATACCTGTAACAGTAGTTAGGAGCAGACCAGACTGTGACAATCTGATTATTGAACATCCATTTGTAACCTTCCATTACCAGTTGATGTGCCCGACATATATAATCTATGTTGTTTGAATGGTTGAAAGATGTAACAACATTTCCTCCAAACAAGTAGCCTGCACCCCTAGGACTTAATCCCCAGCCATCAACATCTTCTGGATCTGACCATAGAAGATCACACATGGCCCCATCATGAGGCACTTCCTGCTTCCGATCAATTGTTCTGATCTGTTAAACAGATCATTTCCCAAATTAAAATTCAAGAGGTTCAATTGGAAAAGGAATGAAGACAACGTTAACGAGCAAAAAATAAAAATAACCTGATCTAAAGTTGTTATGGCAGGAGATAGACCCCCATGAACACTAAATATTTTGTTTTCAATCAGTGCTGATAGACTGCAAAATGGCACAAGTGAAAAAAGTAACCAAGAAATCAGGATTTATGCTGGATGGCCAATAATTATCAACTAACCTCATTATAAAAACATGAAGGAATTACCTCAAATAGTCGAAGATATCTGTGCAATATCTCCATACGTTTACAGAACCATATTTACGGAGGCATTCATCATAGAATCCATATACCTGGAGGAACACCAATGCCTTGTAAAGCAGAAAACAACAATTCATCAAAACAACTTTTGATCTTTAAGATCTTGGACCTGTGTAATCTGCCGGCTTTCGTGGTTTCCTCGTATCAGAGTTATACGGTCTGGATATCTCACCTATACAAATTCAATGATGATTGAAGGAAAAAAAAATAGACAAAACAATTTGCGTCATGCAAGATGCAACAAAAAAAGAAAAAAATTAAATACAACAAAATGACTAAGATCTAGATGAATACATTTAGAACCAAGTTATAAAATAGAAGTGGGTGAGTGTTATCAAATGCACTTAGAACAATGAAATCAATGTTGAAGGTGCAAGAATGTTATAGACCAATTAGCATGGGGATAAAAAGATGTTTGGCACTCCGTCTAACAGAACATTGTGAAATTTTTGCTTTTTAGCCAGCAACTAGGTAAAAATGTGTTAAATCAGAAAGATTGACAAAACAGACACCCATATCCTCAGCATGATGCTGGTCACACTGCAAGATAGGCATTTTTTTTTTCACAAAGGGTAAATGACGAATGTGAAATTCGAGTCAGGACTTTACAGTGAACTGTCAAAGCCTAGTCTTTACAGAAAAGCTAGCCGGCACCTTCAAAAAATTATATCGGATGAGGTTTGATCCTCTACCTTTGAATAAGTGGATCTGGTACACAAAATCTGGTACACCACTTCCAGACCAATGTTTAAGGTACAAGAACATAATCAATTATATCATCAGCTCGATGCACATGTTTTCTGTTCTTAGTTTTCCTACTTTAAAGAGACATGGAAAGTCTCAGATAAAGGAACCTGTTTCTAAACTAATTCATAAGAGTTCCACAAGGAAAACACTTAAAAAGAAAAGAGATTAGGAGGTCCTAAAACATAATCTAATGGTTTGATGCATTTTCCAATCGGGAAAACATACAACCAACATTCTATATCATATGATGGATGTGTAATTATAAACTTGTAACACATTTTACATGTGCACCAAAGAAGGTTGAATGGTTTTTCTTAATATCTGCTTTAATTATTTGTTCTTTGCGGTAGTGAGTAGCTGTGGAAGTTAAATAGAATTAGTTAGGTATGGAAAGATAAGGGATGACAAGATTGAAGAGATACTGGTGCAATGTGAAGCTGAAGATTGTAGTCAACAGATTGATGCTTCATGCTTATAAAAAACTCTTTATGTCTGTGAGTATTACACCTTGTTCATCTAGAAATGGCTTCATAAGTTGTGCATCATTCTTATAGCTTCTTTTTTTTCTGAATTATCTCATTACACATGTCAAATGTTCAAGCAACATGGCAGAACATAGGACTTCCTTTCTTATTAGGTCTTGCTTAGCTTGTTTGAATGGTTTTGCTTTACTGGAATTCAGAAGTTTATTTAAGTGTTAACTCCATCAAGAAAGATCCATGTACAAAATGCACAGTGAGGAATTAATGTTAATCAAACAAGATAAACTTTTATCATATGATTTGATCAGTCAATGGCTCCGCTGTGACAACGGTACAACAACAAGAAAGAAATTACACAAATGAGGCATGGATTTGTATGGATGTACAATAAATTCTGATAACAGTGCAGAAATAAGAGAGGTATAAAGATGTGATATGTTAGCAAACCAGAGGTATGTAAATGCCAAAGAAAAGAGGTAGGATGTACCTTCAACGCTAGCAGAAGCAAGAAAGTTTCAACTGAATAAAATCCACGGTCAACAAAATCACCCAAAAACAAGTAATTTGTCTTCGGGCAGTCACCTCCAACCTTGAATAGCTCTTTCATGTCATAGAACTGGCCATGAATGTCACCACATATCTGAGATAGACAAGTCAGAAGCTGTTAAACAAAGTGAACACAAAGGATCCAAACTTTCCCTTGAAGAACGTCAAAAAAACTACACTATATAGCAAGCATAGAGTACAAGGAAATGACGGAGAAAATTTCTTGGAAAAACTTATTACTGGACAAACCAATATAAGTGGCCTCATGATAGTTACCAACAATCTTTTGTTGCTAAACTTTAGCTTTGATTGGGGACTAAATAATTTGAAACTAAACAACTTGTTCTAAACAAGACCAAAACGCATATAGTTTCTTTTAACAAGGGGAAGTGAAATTTGAAAGATAATCCTTGCCTCTAAAGTTAAATATAGAGTAGACATGACAAGTTTAGAGCTTACATCAAAATTTAGTAGATATCCATTAATTTATGTGACCAAAAAACTGTTGCTTCCTCCAAATGCCACGGTTTCAATTGGCAACAGAGAACCCATATTTAGGCTTTCTTTACATGCATAAGTTTAGGCAGAATGGGATACGTCTTATGCAAGCCTTGAACAAATCCTCTACTGGATCTCTCACAATCTACAAGTTCCTAGGTTCAAATCCAAGTTCATAATTTGCATTAAGTTTTCACACAGGAATGTGAACTTTCCTAATCCAACATCCATTACAAGGATTCAGCAAATTAACCAAAATGCAACCATTCGCAAGTTCCTTTATAACCAACGATACTTGTGGCCAGACAGAAGCGCCGACATCACCATCAAGTAAACTTGGCAAAGATAGCAATTTAGACGGCTGTAGGATTCGCATACAATTAACTACACAGGATCAATCTCACAACTTGAAATTACGATGGCAATCATGTCAACGAGATGCCAGCGAAATCCAGTTATAATGAATTATGGTTAAGAAAATGCGCGAAGCGAAAGAGAAACCCTAAAACTGCAAACTTCAAAGGGAAAAGTTCACGCTTTGGCAACAAAACCAAGAGTCGTTTATCAGTCCGAACATCTCCACATGGTATTTAGATTGAAGGAGAGTAAGACCTCACTACAGATCAGCGGAAGACGAACTAAAACAGAGCAGACGTTTCGAGGTAACGATATTGCAGAGGGAAAAGGTGGGAAAGCGGAGAAGAAGGGATCCATCAGGGGGCTCCGTACCGTGACGGGGGCATCGACTCTTTGAACGTTGCTCTCCTCGACGAGGATCTCCATGGCCTTGAGGCATAGTGCCTTGACCTCCGACTCCTTCAGCGGCTCACACCGCTTCAGCTGCTCGATCTGACGGTCCAAATCCGACATCTCCCCCGTCCCTCGGCTCCTCCGCCAGCCGATTTCTTCTCTCCCCCTCCTCCCTCGTATCCTCCACCTCTTCCCTCTCTCTCCTCCCCGACGCCTACGGCCACTCGCTGAAAAGAGAACTGCGTCTCACAGCCGCAGTCACATAAGTACCGGTCGGTGACCACATACCAATGAGGCGCGGTGACCTCACCAACCCTAATCGTAGCGGTAATCTTACCGCATACAAAACCCGATCCGCTATAAACAAAAGAAGAACCGGATCCGATTTAGAGAGCAACCCGAGTCCTTTCTCGGGGTCGAACGCCTCGCTTGCGTCGAAGGAGACGCCGAGAAGAGGAAGGTAAGAGAGCAGGCAATGAGTATAGTTCCGAAGGAGACGATCGCGGTGATTGCGCAAAGCATCGGCATCGCCAACCTCTCCTCCGATGTCGCCCTCGCCCTCGCCCCCGACGTCGAATACCGCCTCCGTGAGATCATGCAGGTTGTGCATAAAACATCGTCCTTCTCTTTAGGGTTTTGGGTTTCCAAGTTCCAGTCCCTTGAGCTTGATTCTCTTATTTTTCTTTTATGTGAGCTCTAACATGGTGAGATGATGCGCAGGAGGCGATCAAGTGCATGCGCCACTCAAAGAGGACAGTCTTGACGGCGGAGGATGTGAACAGCGCGCTTAGTCTGAGGAACGTCGAGGTAGGTTCCATTTGCGTGGGACTTCTAAGTTCCAAATTTTGTTTCTTTTTCTACTGTTTTTTGGAAAACAAGAAGATTTACTGGGTTTTAACTCGATGGGTTTGTGAGATTCGTGGTTACATTGGTTCCATTTCTTAATGCAAGGCCACTAGATCTGTTGATTGTAAAGGTAGAAATTTTAGTTTCTGGCGATAAAAATTTATTCTTTCCGTGGATTTAACGAATTTGTTCAGGGAATAAACACCAATTTTCTTCTTCTTCGTAGCTCATGAATCCCAACTTGTTAATCTCCTGCGGTTGACCAACATTTAGGACCATGAAAACGTCCATTGTTTAAACTTTTACTTTGAGAAATACGGTGGTTTCTTTTTTGCTTTCTATTAGAATCAAGTAATTCTTTACAATGGTTTCGTGGTTTTCTTAACAGCATATAAGTTCCTTTAATATTATGTAGAAAGCAAAGGTATTTGTGCTTTGAGGATCCTGAATTGGGTTGGGAAGCACAACAGATATGTTTGAAACTTGTCAAACAGATAGTGTGCTTTCTTTCTTAGTTTTAATTGGATGGAGTTAAACAATAGTTATCTTTGATGTGCTTGTTTATCTCTCAGCCTATTTATGGATTTGCATCTGGGGATCCTTTGCGGTTCAAAAGGGCTGTAGGGCACAAGGATCTTTTCTATATTGATGACAGAGATGTAGATTTCAAGGAGGTACGAGTATCTTTTTTGTTGTAATTTATAAATGCTCCATGTACACTCTGTTTCTTTTATGGGGGTTGGGAATATACAGGTCATTGATGCACCCTTACCCAAAGCACCACTTGATACTGCTGTTGTGGCTCACTGGCTTGCTATTGAGGGGGTCCAACCTGCGATTCCAGAAAATGCTCCCGTTGAAGGTTTTTTTTTTTTTTTTTTTTCACTATGTTCATGACCTAACTGAGATTCTTTCTTGTTGGAGTAGCTAGTTTTCTGCAAATTCTTCCTCAGAAAAGATGAAAAACTATGGTTTATGGTTTGATAGCTGGATGAAATTTAGATCAGAAAGAAGTATTGTGGATCTATCTCATAACACCAACATCTAAATAATTTAGAATGTGTTCTAATTTTTTCTTTTGATTAGTTAGTTGATCATAGACTTGTCACAGCATGTGACGACCACACTCTGGTAGTTCATTAGACAGAATTTCCGAAATTTTAAGATATCTTCTATTCCTCTTTGAAGCAAATTGCTTAGTCGACCTGAAATTTGATACTTGTTTTTACATTACTTGAATAGGCTAACTGGAATTAGTCCTAATCCTTAAACTGGAAGTAGATGAATCATATATTCATGCCTATAGATATTTAGCAGCATCAGTTAATATTTCAAGTCTTACGTAAGATTATCATCATGATATCATGTCTTTGAGTTCTGATACATGAAGATCCTGAAGCGCACAGGAAAATGCAGTTAATATTTAGCAGCATCAGTTAATTGATTGCAAACATATGTACCACATAGGTATTCGTAGTTACAAAAGTTGAATATATATTGATTGTCTATATGGTCACTTATACGAGACTTAATTGTGTAATTTTCATAGAGAGACCAAAATTTTATTCCCTTGAAACATTAGAAATACTGCTTATATGCTATTTTCCAGGATCGATTTGAAGTTTCCAGTATGCATCCTGAGAAAGCATGTACACGACAGATCTAATACCTTATATAAATTTCTAAACATTGATGGAGTAACTATAAATTTCAAAACTTCACATTCATGTAATGGGCACTAGTTTGTTAATATATCTGTATTGAGATATTTGCTAGTTACTTTATCTTCTTTCTTGCTCCCCAAATCACCACTACAAACTCTGGATACTATTTGTAGTATTAATTTTGGTCTTGGTTTTATTGGATTTCCAACCTTTATTTGAAATTAATTTTTGTGCCTATTATTTCTAGCAATTGTAGCCCCGTCAGAAAACAAAAAGTCTGAGAACAGCAAGGAAGACGGGCTTCTTGTTGATCTTAAACTTCCTGTTAAGCACGTACTATCTAGAGAACTCCAGGTACTTTTCCTTGCAGGCTTCTGAACTTTCTTGGCTTTTACTGTTACAGGTTATTTGAGCTTCTATGAAAGAATTGCCTATCATATTATCTAGTTACTTTCTCATTGCAGCTCTACTTTGACAAAATCACTGAGCTTACAGTGACTAGGCCTGAGTCCATCCTTTGCAAAGAAGCATTAGTGAGTTTAGCAGTGGATTCAGGAATTCATCCATTAGTTCCATACTTTTCATACTTCATTGCAGACGAGGTGAAGTTTGCTAAATCAATTTATCTGTTGAATATATCCTCTTAGGTCATAGTTTATAATTGTTTCTATCACAGGTTGCCCGAAGCTTAAATGATCTTCCTATCTTGTTTGCTTTAATGCGTGTCGTCCGGAGCCTTCTCCAAAATCCACACATTCACATAGAGCCATATGTAAGTCATCTTATTTGAATTGTACGTGGAGTGTTTATTGACATGAACTTTGATTTATGTTCTCCGATCTGTTCCCATAATTGAGTACCATGAGTTTTCTGCTTAGCGTCAACCTCTCCTTGCAAAACATACACTGGACTGCTGAAATGTTGTACAGCCATGTACATTCCTTCTAATAAAGAATATTCTCATCTACAGTTACATCAGCTGATGCCATCGATTATAACATGTGTTGTTGCCAAAAGGTTGGGGAGTAAAATAACAGATAATCACTGGGAACTGAGAGACTTCTCAGCAAATCTAGCTGCATCAGTATGCAAAAGGTCAGACGCTCTGCCAAAATGTAGAACTTCATTCTTTTCTATTCAGTTAACAATTTTTTAAAGAGTCTACAAGTGTTGCTAGTAACAGAAAATAAACAGGGCTCCTCATGCAACTCTTTTGAACACACAGAAAACATTTAGATATTACATGCAACTGAATAATGCCGAAACAAAACAAAAAAAAATTTAAACATTCCTATGTATGTGCTTGTATGAACATCTCTTTGATTGGCTAATCCTGTATACCCCCTATTCGTCTCAGAACATCATCTGCGAACATCTTGCATGCTTTAATCCTCCCCGGAGAGCTTAACTATTTTGATATACTGTAGGCACTATGGTTATGTGGAAAAAAGAATACAAGATCAGGAACAAACATATCTATGTATGGATCAGGGATGAGACAGTTGGGCTTAATTTTAGAACTAGGAATGACCTGCGGCTCATGCTGTGCTTCTTGTGATGATTTTTGTGGCTTTTAAATCTCTCCCAGCATTGCAACGATGGACTTGTGTTTCTAGTTTAAAATGCACTTTTAATTGCACCTTTCAAGATGCAGTTTTTTTGATCTTTTGCCAACTCAGACTATAAAATTACTAGTTTGCTAAGCATAAGTAATCAAGTGTAACTGAGAGAACAAAGTGAAATTTGGACATCTATATTATGTCCAACATAATTTTCTGTAGACAAACCCACTCAGAAGTAATTGACTTGTAGGGTTTGTACAATAACCAATACATGGCTTCTGATTGTCAGTGGTTAATTCACTTGTTTAAGATCCCATGTCATCAGAAAATCTTTTTGTTTCATACTGAAAAACTTAAATATAAACAGCCATTAATTTGCATTCTTTTGTATGCTCCAGCAAGTCATTGCAGTTTATCCTTCTCTGATGGTTGTCTTAAAGGATAGATAAAAGTTTTGATATTGATGACAGACTTCAAGTCTCGGAACAATTTAAGCTTTTATTCTTGCTGGATTTATGTCATGACTTGACATACACCTGAGCACTTTAGTTACATTCTTATAATGAATACTAAGCATTTCATAGGGTTCTGGTAACTTTTACCTCCTTAAAAGTTGTGATATTGATGACAAGCATACATATACGATCTTGTATACTATGAATTCAAGTCCCGGTTGATAGTTTCTGTACTTTTAGAGGACTTTTAGATAACTTTCTGTAACAAATTTGCTGGATACAACAGATATGGTCATGTGTATCACAATCTGCAGTCCCGGTTGACAAAAACACTGATCAATGCTTTTCTGGATCCATCTAAAGCACTGACACAACATTATGGTGCCATTCAAGGGCTTGCTGCATTGGGAACTAGTGTGGTACTTCCTTTAACTGTCTTTCTTGCAATGTGGTTCTCTCTTTCTAATATGATAGATGTATCTTAACCTTGCTAGGTACGTCTGCTAGTTCTGCCTAACCTTGAGCCATACCTGCAACTTCTACATCCAGAGATGCAACTGGAAAAGCAGAAGAATGAGATGAAAAGAAAAGAAGCTTGGCGAGTATATGGTGCCTTACTGGTACTTTTTTGTCCATTTCTTCAGTTACATCTCAAAGTTATTTGTGAAGACATGATTTTTATATGCAGATGCAATAAAGACTTACTAGAATGCATATCTCAGCGTGCTGCAGGTAAATGTTTGTATGACCGGCTCAAGTTGTTCCCAGGTTTGTTATCTCCTCCAAGACATCCAGGTTGGAGGATTAATGGGAGAGTTGCAACTAGCCATTCCAGTAAGCAATCTTGTTTATTCTTGAATCAGTTTTTTTTCCACCAGATTTTCATTCTATATATCTTTATTCTAAATATCTTATGCCATCATCATCTTGTGTTGCTGTTTTTGTTCCACATGGTTTTAAAAGTTGAGTTTATTATTCATACACAATAGCACTTTGTCAGCACCATTGGTGGTACTGATACAGTGAGGAGTCTGCAAGAGCAATAGTCACATGTGCAAGAGCGATATGGTCTTTACCAGCTAATCTAGGAGACATCTTTGGAAATATACCAGTTGAGGTTTCGAACCCTCAAACTTTGGTAAGAGGTTACTAGGAGAATTTTCCACTTAAGTATGTCGGATGAGGGTTCGAAACCACATCCGACGTACTTAAGGAGAAAGGTGGATTTTTGATAGTGTAATAAGGTTTGGATTATTGCAGCATTGGTATTGGTAATAGCAGTATTAATTATACGAGGCTCTAGAACCAAATAAAGCAATAACTAGAGAATGAAATAATCTTAATTTTTAAGGAAGCTTTAGATCTATGCGGTGTAGTCACATTCCAGGACAACTCAGACCTTTTGGCTAAACTACAATGGACATGATCAGTTTGTTTAAAAAATCCATTGATGATTCTGAATCACTGGTGGTGATACTAATTTTCCTGTTCTGACTCTCGGAGACAAGACAAAGTTTACAAAAACCTATTAGAATTCACAGGAATGCTGCTGTTTGTATGGACGTTGTGCATGTTTTGTATGACACGGTTTTAAATCTCGTCTAGTACTAATGAAGTAACCTACTAGACTGGTAAGGTATTGGTGTACTGCTCTATCTGATGTTGCTTGCATGTATATTGTGCATGTGTTGTCTACCACAAGGATTTAAATCTCGATCTAGTATTGGTTTTGGTAGCTTATTGGACAGGTAAGGTAGTAGTACACCGGATGATAGGTCGACATGTACTGTTCAATATCATTGAATAAAATAACAAAAGTAAAAATGAATGATATTGAACCGATAGCTAGTTATATGTTTCAGTATTGGTGGATTGGTAAATATCAGTCTGTTCTGGCCGATATAGTCAATGATTGAAAATTTTGATCTGATAATTATAGATTTACAGTTCCGTTTATGTATCTATCGTGGATGGCCTCCCGCTTCACAATAATTGTATATGCATCTGACAAGGCTAATTGTGCCATTATGTTAATCACTTTGCTGCCTGAACTCAACCTCCCATGAGCTCACTATACATTTTTGTTGTCTTCTTGAAGACATGAATTAAAGGAGATGCATGACTTGGTGATCTGGCACAAACAAACTAGTCTAACAATAGCTGCTTCTATTACTGCTTTTGTTTCTACTTGAATTTATCTTCTCTCCAAAAATTAAATATCATGGGACATTCTCATAGTTGAGCGTGATTCGCGTCGTCAAATAGCTTGCAGATGCCACTGTACTTTCCCTAAGAGTTATTTGTTTTCGTTATGTAACTAGACAAGCGCATGTCAAGCACCAACCTCTCATCGCAGCAGCCACCATTCAAGAAGGTTGCAGCTGATGGACCTACAGGTGCAATGCAACCCATTGCCATGACAGCCAACTTGCAGGGTGCACCGGATGGATTCCCTACACGGTCATCTGGAACAGGTGTTGGGCAACCTTCTACCTCGGGGCAGGTTCCAATGAAGACGACCGGAGGCAGACAAGAGAAGGGTGGCAGCGTGGCGCCGAAGGGATCTGCTGTCTTGGCCCAGGCTTGGAAAGAGGATCTGGATGCGGGACGTCTTTTGGCGTCTCTATTTCAGTTGTTTGGTGAAGGTGTATTCTCGTTCATTCAGCCAGTAGAGATGTCGTTCTTTATCTAGCCAGCAGTGGTGAGTCACAACGGGAGAGAAGGTGTATTCTCATTCATTTAGCCAGTAGAGATGTCTTTCTTTATCTAGCCTGCAGTGGTGAGGCACAACGGGAGAGTCTCCCGACAAGCTAAGGGATGGTGGTGTAACTTAACTTCTTATCTTTGAATGGTGTAAACATATTGATATGGAAATAGCTTTGCCACGCTTAATAGAAGATGAAAGTTGGGTTGCTTATTACGGGCATGTCAGTCAGCTGCGAGACTGCAACACATCACACAGGATGGGTCTAAAACGATATTGTTTCTCACCTGCAAAGCATCTGAGAAGCTGAAACAAAATCTATCAACAAATCTAAACGACCATCACAGAATCGTGTTGTGATGTCACTGTTGAAAAATGAAAGCAGAAAAGAACACAGTAGCCATTTCTTCGTTGACTCCTTTTAAAAAACGCATTAATCCACACCAATTCTAAGAATTAGAGGATCCGATTAGGGTCCAAACGACATGAATGATAAAATAGTTTCATAGAAATGGTCTTTTCTCCCACTTTGGAGGGTGCTCGCACACATTACACACAAGCTTTTTTTTTTTTTTTTTTGCCACATTCAGATAAAGAGTAAAAGAAATTGATTTCTAAAAACCGAGTTATCACTCATTGAAATTTCTAAAAACTCCAAGTCGTCATATGACAACCACGAGAAGTCAACAGTACTGTTTGATTTGCAGTTCCAGAAGAGGATTGCTCTTTTTGCAAGAAAAACGGAGATACAAGTAAAATTGTGTACATGAGCATGGGTGAAAACGAAATCAACTCTAATTACGATGCGAGCATTCAAAAAAACAACTTCCGAGACCTAGAGGATACCGGTGGTGAGTTGGCTGTACTCTTCATTAGGTGTGCCCCAGTTTTAGTTTCATTATCTGCAACCTTGGCTGACCTTGGATCTGTCAACAGAGTTTTCTGAAATGACTGCGAGAAACCTGTGGCGATTATTGTTACATGAATCTCTCCGCTGTAACGATCATCAACAACCGCTCCAAATATGATGTTTGCAGAAGGGTCTGCCAGGCTTGTCACAACCTGCATATGGGTAGGACCAAAATGAGCTTTGATCAGAAGATGGACAACATTCTCCCTTTTGAAGCTAAATGACAGAAGATTTAAACAAGCATGAGTCCCAACACAGCAAGACTGAGTTTCAAGCATAAAATTTCCACAAAGTACCTGAGAAACTTTGTTTACTTCTTGCAATGTGATATCCTTTCCGCCAGTTATATTGTACACGATTCCCATAGCAGACTCGATCGATGATCCAATCAGAGGTGCTAGGGTAGCTTGTTCAGCTGCTTCTTGTGCACGATTCTTGCTGGAGGAAACACCAACACCAAGCATGGCAGTTCCAGAGTTCTTCATGACAGCTTTTACATCAGCAAAGTCAACATTAACAAGTCCAGGGATCTGCAAATTTGGAGAAGATCAGTCGCAGCACCACAAAATAGGACCATCTACTGCAACCTTTTCTCTAAACCCTATATCACTGTCAAATCTAACTCACTGTTATGATGTCGGATATCCCTTGCACCCCTTGACGTAAAACATCATCTGCAAGGAGAAAAGCATCCTGAAGAGGTGTATGTTCGTCCACAATATCCAACAATCTATCGTTAGGAATCACTATGAGGGTGTCAACACTCTTTTGTAACTTCTCTATTGCTTCCAAAGCCTGACAATGGTCAAAGCACAAAGCAAGCCATTGGAAGTTGGAACACCTCAACAAACTAGGATTGTAGTGAAAGATATTAAGAAGTATGGTTTGTTAATTAATAGTCTGACAAGGAATCAAAGGTAAAATAAAATTACCATTATCAGAACTCAGAATATCGTATAGAGTATAAGACGAGAAATATAGGTTGCAAATGCTAAATACTTAACAACTGATGAAATCCTTCTCCTTGCAATGTCATGACAATTATTAATGAAATTTTGAAGTGGGCAGGAAAAATCACTTGCTTAGTTGCTTTTAGGATTAATTAGGAGCAAGTGCAACTTTCTGCTCACACCTATGTGCATTTAGCACTGCTCTTATAAAGCATATTCAAATTCAGTCTTCAGACGTATTTGGTAAGATGAGACAGAACAGAAGACCTCAAACAAGCAAATATGGGTTTGAAAAAGCAAAAGATCCATCTCAGATAAGAGAAAATGCTCCTTGACTAAAACTTCAAAATCCATGTTTAGCACCATAAGGATCCACTTACCATATGTGCAAACAGTGAACATTTACAGCAAAAACATTTGTTGCAGAAGAAAGAGTTCAGTCAATCACTGAAAGTGTAATAGTGGATTCTTACAGATCCACTTACCAATACGTTCCTTATGTCACATACTCAGCTCATATATATTTTCAAAGAATTGTTTGTTATTTGGACCTTTCAGCAAATCGATCACACCTCTTGACATGAACTAGAAGTGTACAAAGATATAGCACACCAGAGAGAAATAATCATAAACCTTTAAAGCCATAACTCTTCAAACAGTCTATTTAACTTCACACATTAATTTTCTCTTTTAATCACAACAGCAAGAGGGCATATTATGGAAGGATTTATCTTGTACAGCTAACAGAGTTAGGTGAAAGGACTAAAATTTATGTCCAACTGAAACACATATAGATATGAGAAACAGAAAACCCCTAACTCAGAGAATCAATAATTTATGTCCTACCTATCTAAGATTACCTACTCATTTTCTCTTTTAATCACATCAGCAAGGAAGCATATTATTACAAGGATTTATTTTGCACAGCTAACAGAGATATGCAGAAGGACTAAAATTTATGTTCAAATGAGACATATATGGATATGAGAAACAGAAATACTCTGAACGAGAGAATCATTAACCAGGAATATTAGCAATTAGTTATATTATACAATATATTTTCACATATGAGAAGCATACTAGGTGGATATTACTAAAGAGAACTAATGAACCTGCCTGTACAGAACGCTTGCGACCTTCAAAACTGAATGGGTAGGTGACAACACCAACAGTCAGATAACCTGCGTCCCTTGATATCTGAGCAACAACAGGAGCAGCACCAGAACCAGTTCCTCCACCCATGCCTGCCGTTATAAAGACAAGATCTGAATCCTTAAGGGCACTGGCAATAGTTTCTTTAGATTCCTCAGCAGCTTGCTCTCCAAGAAGAGGATTTCCACCAGTACCTGCATATTTCCAAGCAGAAGATTAGCTACTCTAATGAATCTATACTATTTTCACTAACTAGTGGCTAGTTCATGAAATGAAGAAAACACTCTCTAAATTAAAATAGTAATGAAGAAAATCATCCTACAAGTTTTAATTTATATTAGAACTGTCATGTTTTACTCACAAATCGACATTTGATATATCATTATTCATATATTAAACATCCAAAACATTTCAGTTTAAAAGCCCTCTGACAATGCCATCAACAATCCAACTAATTCTGGTTTAAAATTAACAGTAAAATGATTCGATGGATCCAGGAAGCAGAATTTATATCAGTGCAGGTGTACAGTATCTTTTCTATTCATAGTCTACTGCTTCCTTGGGGCATTCTTGTCCTGTTCCAACTTCTCCAAAGCATCATATTCCGCTTCAAACACCAGATTTTGATGACTAATTGACCACATGACTATAGTCAATATAAGTTAAATTAGACCACTAAAAGATGATCCATTTTAGCAAGCTTTTTCTACTCAGAGTTATTTACTAAACAGGATAAAGAAAGCATATGCAAAGTAATGCTATCTCTTGATAGATTTTACAGGTGCAGATATACAATAATTTTTATGTTCTTACAGAATATTAATGATATCCCATCAAAAGATTATTAATGAATAGTTTGAGTGCCTGACCTAATCCACGAGTCAAGACTTCTCCAATTTGCAGTGGATTCTGTGCTTGTGAATGCAACAGTGCCTGAGAATCGGTGTTTATTGCGTAGAACTCCACCCCCTATCAATGCAGAAGACTGAATCAGATTCTGTACTTTCTCTAGTAAAAAATGATAACACACAAGATTATCAGGTATGATAAGAGGCAAGTAACTTTTTGATTCAAGGCCATGTCTTAACTGTTGAAGTGGGCACATAATTTTCTAATCCTTTAAGATTATATGTAGAAGGGGATGAAATTTAACTAAGACGTGACACGACATCACCACCAAAGCAAGGTTCATGAACATATGTGGAAAGAGAAATGAAACATATTAAATTTCTAAGCAACCTACCATTATCACAAGATGGGTTGTGATATCACAATGGAATTTTGATTTTGCTAAAGTTGGCATGCATGCTCAGATGATGAGAAAGTAGAATTTTCAAACCCCTCAACCACACCTAGAAAATTCATCTGTTTCCTATGTTGTATCTTTGTATGCTTATGTACTTCTGTTAGTTTTAGACAACAAAAAATCAAGTGGATGTTCTTAAATCTAAGGTTAAAAAAATAAATATTTTTTGTTAAGTAAATAAAAGGATGAAGCACACAACCCCCTGACCACTATCTAATTAGTCATATATGTATGCATTTGAATTCGAATGACATTTAGACAAAAGACAAAAAACAAGGAACCCTCCAAGTAGAAGCAAAATAAAATAAGTACAAAAAAAGATTCATTACTAAAGTTTAAATAAACACATAGTATTAACTAAAAAATACAATGAATCTACAGGGAAACTTAAATATATCAGGCATACTGACCATTTTTAATAATGTCAAGCACATAAATTAGCCATGGTGTCCCAAAGGGCAGAAGAATCATCACCATCTGTATTAGATAGGACATTAGAACGCTCGTATGCCTCCATCTGTCTATAGATATGCTTTCTGAATCATATCTGACCTTTTCTTCTTGGGTTCTTAGCCATATATACACCTTAAATATCTATATTAGCATATATAGCATTCTACATTTCATATTTTCATCCATGCCCTCCAAAATATGTGTATTTGGATGTCTGCTCCTCTATACACAGACATGGGCTAGATTCTTAACTCATCTTAATGAAAATAAGAAGTTGTCCAAACTGTCCTTGTTTAGCAATAAAAACCAAGGGACAGTGGAAATTTTTATGCCTAATTTTAATGGATTTTATGCAAACAGTGTCTAGGTTACAATTTCCACTTTGCTAGTCAGTGGTTAAAAGTTGACACTTAAGGGTGGAAAGTCAATTGGGGACACACCCAAGTAGAAACTATCTTGGAGGCAGTAATCCAAAGTCCAAACTTCAAGCTTCTATGTACATATTTCCATAAATGTTTATTTTCTGTGGTATATATGCAGAGAAAAGGGGAAAAAATCATCTTGTCTTCTCATCTAATCTGATTCTTATCATGAGGCCAGGCCCCATCATCATCAAGAACTACAAGCTCCTCTCCAACAATCCCAAATGGGTTGAATCACGACAATCATACACTTCAACTGTCATCTAATATCACACGCAAAAGAAAATTATTGAGGTTGTATGCTGAACAGACATGCTAAATGGAACGAGATATTCAAGATTCAGGCCATAAAAAATCTTTTCAACAAGATACATGCAAAACAAAGTCTATAGTATGGGTGGCAAATCTTTTCTACAAGAAACATACAAAACAAAGTCTATAGTACACGTGGCATCGCTTTAATTTTCTTTTCCAGATATTTACAGTACAATGATTTTATGCATCACCGTCCAACTCTAGAATTCTTTTTCTAGAAGTCCTATTTTACTCTTCCAAAAAACACTAGTGTTCCAATATTTAGTGTGGTATAAAGGTCACCGCCGCAAGAAGACTAGAATTTCAAACACCAGAAGAACACTGGAATTTAATCCAAAACTCAAGAAACTAAAATCAAGAGTCAGAATTTTTCAAATACCAAAATGGAAGAACCATATCTGGTTTCTTATTCGAGTCTTTCCTCCTGCATTGTGTCGTACATCTTCATTAGTTGATAATAACATTAAAACTATCATTACAAACCACACTAATTCCCAATCCAGACAAACTTGCATAACTCCAACCCTCGAGAGCAGTGCATTGAGCATCGGAATCAAGCAACGAATTTAAAGGTTCACGTCTATGAGCACGATCCGATAAAAGCCGCATTCTGGGAGGAAAAAGAACCACAAGAAAACTCGAATTCAAGAACAAGCGCAAGCATCAAGAACTCGAGCACCAACCTGCAACCCGCTCCCAATCATGCGATTCACGGCGTTATTCCCGCCCCCTCCGACCCCGACCACCTTAATCCTGGCCGACTCCACCGGGACGAACGGCGAGAAGGAACACCGGACAGCGGCGACCCCTCGCCGCCGGAGGGCCCCCCTCCTAGCCGCGGCCGCCGGTGCCGGGGCCGGGGCCGGGCCGCAGGGCGAATGTAGAGAAGGGAGGAAGGAAATGGAGGCCAAATGGAGGTGAGAAGGGCAGGAGAATCGAAGGGAAGAAGCCATTTTGGCAGTCGGTCCGTCCGTCGAGATGGGAAAGTAATAACGAGGGGAAATAAAGATCCTAAGCTTAGGGTTTTGCAACACAAAGAGGTTAGCCCTTTTTTAATAATAATAATAATAATAATAATAATAATTATTATTATTATTAATTGGACAAACTTTTTTAAACTCATTTTTATAAAATAGCTTCTTTTAATATTTATATTTCTTATTGTTTTCATGTGTTTTGGTTGCTAATAAATATAAATGCTTGTAAATAGTAGTTGCATGTGGTCTTAGGAGTGAGAGTGGTGAACGGAGAGTAGGATTTGTTATGAGAAATAGGTAAGTAATTAAGTTTCTACTTTTTGTATTGAAAAATATAGTAGTATTATTATTATATTTGTAATTAAGATAAGGAAGATGACAATCCATATTTAAAAAATCAAGATTGAGGAGGAAATGACATAAGAAATGTTACGGATGGTCCAAAAAGGAGAGCAAACATGAAATTGAATGGAGTAAAGTGGATGATATGATCATCCAACCTTGCATCTAATGATATATAAGAGGGAGATCACAGTTGAAATAAGATGGCGCTAATGCTCATGATTTTACTTTGTTTAAGGGGAAAAGCAAATGTACACTCGCTTGCATGGCTGAAGGAATATATGCAACGTTTAAGAGAACGAGACATCCACAAGTGATGGCTTTAGATCACGAGTTTGAACAATATATCCAGGACATACAACAACAGATTTGCAGATGGCAGTGGATTTAAATTGCAAGTAGCTATTAGATTCCAACAAAATCCCCAGCACTACCTCCAATTTAGTGAACAAAGCTCACACAGCAAGCTAGTTCTCGGAAGAACAGATCCAGGAGAGGCCAACATGAACGTCTTGATGTATATAAAGCAACAAGAAATCCAGTTCTCTACTGATTTGGATCAAAGTGTCCATAAATTTCTGTAGTGGCGTTGCCAGAGGCCCCCTAATGCAGCTTAGGAGCATTAGAAACAAATTTGGAGTTCCCTCATAAAAAGTGAATGACTCGAATGTTTCTTTCTTTCTTTCTTGGAATAAGGAATCAAGCATGCCAACAATGATCCATTAAAATCTGAAGTTGGGCTCTACGTCCATTGCCCAGGCGAATTTTGCAAGTAATGACTTGTTGAATATCTGGTAAGAAAAACAGGCCAAGATTTAGAAGTAAAAAAAAAAACTGTCTTTGTATGGGGAAAATTAAAGATTCGTACTGAACTGTGGAGTAAGGCATAATAAATTAAGCCATCTATTGAATGCAAAGTTTGCCATGGAAAATATATTTCATAAATGTTAAGCTTTTCTCAGAAAGAGAGGATAGCAGATGATGCACCTTCTCGATGGGAACTTCATGGCGCTTGCACCATGCAACTGATATTCTGGGATCAAGGTAATTAATTTTTGATGTTCCAAGTGCAACAGTTTTCAGATCCTCTTTTATTTGTTTATCCAACTCAAGTTTCTCTATTTTTGCATCAACCTGAGAGAGCTTCTTTTCTATCCTGCAAGTTGAGGTGAATCAGATCACAGACACGACATTTCAAAGAAATTTCAAGTTCAACAATCTGGTTAAGTCCATTACACTTCAGGGGACAAGTTCTTCTTTGTCTTCCCTTCTTTATCCTTGAGTGGAGGCTTCCCTTTCCTGGCCCTACTCAAATCCATCTTCAATTCATCCCGCTGGGCCTATTTGCAACAGTATTAACAAAATAGGCATGTTTAGTGAAAATTTACAGAAAAATCAATAATGACAATTAGAAATCCAACAGACCTTTAAATCATTTATCTTCTCGTTCAGCCTAGACATTTGGTTTTCATGGGACTTTGAGACACTGCGCTGATGATTGCATATAATTGCAACCTATATTGTAAAAGAAACCATCAATTATCATCATGACTCATAAATTCATAAATCACTGAATAGACAAAAACAAGAAGCCACAGTACCTCTTTGTTTGCGTGCTGATAGACAGCAATCTTTTCAGGAACAGAGCCATCCTTGGTTTCTTTATTCAACTGCCATATCATGACAAAATCAACATAGACAAAAGTATGATGCTTACCTATTTCACTACGCAATAGGATTATGATAAACTGGTGGCAGTCCAGAATGAAGTATCAACAAAGTAAGTGCATATTTTGATCTAAATTTTAATCATACATGTATAGGACATATTTGTACAATGATTGTACAGGACATGTATAAATTTTAATAATTTTTTTGTAAAAGATACAGCAAAAATATAGACTCAATAAAACATGTTTAAATTCATGTTTATTAAGCACTCCTTCCCTATAGCATCATTTGAGCACTTTAAAGTCAAAAGTACAACCACCATTCAATATGGATCTCATGAAATGCCAAGATTGCATTATTAGAAAGCAGTTCAAAGGAAACGAGACTCTGGAATCTTAGAATAACAGAGGGAAGAAAACACAGATATTTTCTGTCATCTTCATACTTACTATATCATCCAAGGTAATTGAAGCATTGTATGTACGGAAAACCTTGGCGGTAAGACCAGGCATGAGTTCCTTCAAATGTGCATTGAGTTTGCTTGTGTCCAGCAAGTCAAAGAGATCATCACCCTTACCCTTTCTACCTCCATCACTCTTTTTAGCTAATGAATTACAATGTCTGATTAATATCCAAACATACTGTTGACAGAAATTGAACAAACTACATAAATTATGTAGTCACCTCTCACCAGTTTGGAATTCTCCAATTGCTTTATAGACAGGCAGTTCAACCTCCACGGTATTTAAGTATCTGATAGAATCTTTACCTAGGAAGTCGAACTGGAGAAATCATAATGTTAAAATTACACAAGGAATTAAATGAAACAATAGAAGTGAACTAATAACCAGAATCTACCTTTAACATGTTTGGAGGGACCAACTCAACATTCTCCACCTTTAGAGTGCAGCAACCAACAGTATCAGCCTCATCATCATCCTGTAGAAAGATTTATATGGCAAAAGAATAAACAAGTAACATCCATATTGCAAGATAAAGTACACCCAGAAAAGAGCAACCATCCTCGAAAGCATAAGATAAAAACTTTACACTCAGGAGCTTACAAAAAATCATTCAGTAACATGGAAAAGAAATGAACTACAGAAGTAATATTAAATATGACAGCAAATACCAAGATTTGCTTTTAAGTATGACTTCAATCGTTCTAAAATCTGATGGATAAACATTGGCAGTGAGTTCAATTAGAAGATTGATGCTCCAGCATTAGGTGAATGACTAATTATGATGCAGCTCATTCAACATAAGCATAATATGATGACCAGGAAATTCACAATGCACAACTGATTTAGAGAATTCCACAGTGCACATAATTGTATGAAGGCATTATGTCCAAGTCTTCATGCATTGTATAAAGTCATCATGGTTAGGTTGCTCCTTCGTAACCCAAGTGGCTAAGGTTCGAATAGCAGAAAATGTCACTCCGATTGCAGGGGTAAGACTGTATAGATTAACCCTTCTCAGACCTGTATTAGCAGAAGCTGCCTCTTTTATAACAAGCTAATAAAGCTAGGTTGCTCCTTCGTAACCCAAGTGGCTAAGGTTCGAATAAAAGAAAATGTCACTCCGATTGCAGGGGTAAGACTACATAGATTAACCCTTCTCAGGCCCTGCATTAGCAGAAGCTGCCCCATTTATGACAAGCTAATAAAGCTAGTTTGACACCAACAAATGATACTAGGAAAAGTTATAGAAGAAAGTTTCTTTTACATGGCATGGTTTAACAAGCCAAACTGCAACATACAATAAAATGAATCAAATGCACAAAGTGATTTCTCAATAGATTAGGGATCAACAGGAGCACCTCAACATAAATATGAAGCTCATGTTTACATGTCCAAACCATTATTTCCGTGCAAGTGAGAGATGATTTAACAGCATCATCAACACATCAAATACCAGCTAGTTATTTTAGTATACAAGGTTTATATTTTTCAGTCAGATAAGTACTCAGGTACAAGGTTTAAATTCTTAGTCAAATACCAGTTTCAACACCTTCTCTGATATGAACAGTGCTACTATATCAAGTAGTAAACTAACCTATACTTTTCCATATAACAGAAAATCAATATAAAAATAGATATCAATCAATACTAAGCTGTATGTTCTGGTACCAATTCTTGGTTGAACTGATAAGTATTGACTGATACATATCAGCCCGATCAAAATCTAAACCCTTGCTCACATAGCTAATCTATCTAGGTTATCACCATAATTTGCCAAAAGAAATAACATTGCAATAAACATGCATATCTTAAGAGGAAAAAGTTGACAGGGTGTGTGGTCCAGTTTTGAGCATGTCAACACAAGAATCAACCAGACATTTGAAGGTTAGGAAATTGGGAAGATTAGACACTAATAGTACAAACCACAAGGCCGAATAAACAAGGATGAAACTGTTGAACTATGTCAATGAATTGGTACCTTTTCATTGCCAGCTCTAAGAGCTAGCTTATCGATAAGGTAAGTTGCCACTGCTATCTGCTGTTTTGTTGGATCTTTACTGGCAAAGTCCCTTGTATAGTTTGCTCGAATGTTATGTATATAATCCTACAAAAAAAAGAATGGCATCTCAGTAGTTGCCTGTGGAGCAATCTACTGGTAAAAACTCATGCCTGTTGTCATTCCCAAAGCAAAAAGAACAATTTACCTTCAATAGCCTGGCTTTCTCATATTTCTCCCTGTCACTTTGCCCTTTTAATGAACTGCTTGCTGCCAAAAAGACATACTTGAACTCTTTTGGATTTATGGGATCATTCCAGAATGCTAACCATGTGACAGTGTTATCATGTTTTATTTCTTTCCACCTAAAAAAGGTAAGCCAAATGCTAATATTAGAATGCTAATTAAAAATTTCAGTCTTTTTTCACAAGATTGATCTGGTCTAGTGACTGCCTAACCACAACCTTAATAATTTAACTGACATTACCTTTCACCAGATATTGGACATTCTGGAATTGGTGCATCTTTTCCTATATTAATTGTAATATCACGAGGCCGAATTCTCTTTTTCAGCTTTCCCATCTGGAATTACAACAAGCAACAGTAGATTCAGCAGAAAATAGAAATGACAGGATCTTCTGGCATTCCAATTCACCCTGACAAACAGCTAACAGTTAAATTCCAGTATAGTGATAATAATAATAGAACCTTTGGATGCTCTCCTCGGCCTCGAAACAATCCTGGTGGTTCGACTCTGAAATTTCCAACCTAAAACAGACCGACTCATTAGTTCCAGCATAAGATGTGAAAGACACAGGTTGGCCACAAATTTTACAATATGCATCACCATATTAAGGTACGTTACTTAAGCCTGAGGTAAAGGCTTCCCACATGGTGATAACATTGACAGAGAAAGATATCTTGCATCATGTATGCATTAAATTCTTCCCAAAATAACAGATGCTTAAAATACCAACTTAAAAGAAAAAAAAAACTTTTAAAAAACTTGTAGGTGACAGTGACTTCTGAAATTCAAAGTGTCTGGTAAGGATCTACTTATTATGTGGCAGATGGTATGTTTCAAGCTGCATGAAATATGCCCATAATAAAGCAAACTTGTACTGAAATCTATATTTGATCAAATTGTGCATAAATTTATGCACAACTCTCAATAAAGAACAAAGGTGCAACAACTTTACTCAAGTCTCAGACTTTTCCTATCAATTCAGTAGCAGATATACAGCATAAATTACGTTATCTACTAGCTTCATCAGAAAAGACAAAATACTATTGAAAAATGTGAAATAAAGTCAGAACTTATAATCAACCTTCTCTTTCACATCGTCAACAATAGCCCACATGTATTTCTCCTCTTGCTTCAATTTTTCTTCTTTTACGGCCTTCTTCTCCTACATAGACAGCATAGATACATAGTTATCAACTCCTGCTTACTAATATAATGTGCTAGATTTGAATTTGGAGAAGAAAACATGCCATGGATCATTACATCTAAGATGCATTTTCAATTAATGAAGTATTTTTATTCACCAAATATCTGTTTTAAACTATAGCGATGGAAAAAAGAAAATTTATGTGTAAGAAAATGATCAAATCATAAACAAAGTTAGAAAGGTAAGGAACTTCCTAGGAGCTCCTACCTCATCTTTAATCAGGGATGCACAACAAAAGTTCAATATGTTGCTATAATAGTTGCACAAACAGAATAGACCAACATAAATCACTAATCAGTTATGGTGTTACATATGAAAAGCAAAAGGTTAAAAGAAAAGCCTTTTCTCAATCTGAGAGTTATCCCTAAATCAGAAGCGATGGATGACAAACAAACTGACATAAAACTATGAATCTGGCAGTTTCTAGAAGCCTACCATCCACACCAAAAAGGGGTCAGAAGTACATCAACTTACTACTTCTATTCGATGGCAGCACTCAAGCCTCCACAATTTATGTACAAGATGAAGAGTATTAAAACAAAACAAACAACTATTCTATTCATTGTACTAGATAATGGAAGGATCAAAATGAAGGAAACATTACTCATTCACATCTATTTCATCAAATCACCGAGTCAGCAACTACATAGATGATTGCAGCATAATTTACCTCGGCACTCATCTGCTTCTTCTTTTCCTTCTCCCTTAGATGCCATTCATTTATTGGAGTGAAGTCACATAGCTCAAATTTCTTAATGACATGATTTTTACCAAGTATTTGTACAAGATGAAGAGTATTAAAACAAAACAAACAACTATTCTATTCTTTGTACTAGATAATGGAAGGATCAAAATGAAGGAAACATTACTCATTCACATCTATTTCATCAAATCACCGAGTCAGCAACTACATAGATGATTGCAGCATAATTTACCTCGGCACTCATCTGCTTCTTCTTTTCCTTCTCCCTTAGATGCCATTCATTTATTGGAGTGAAGTCACATAGCTCAAATTTCTTAATGACATGATTTTTACCAAGTATTTGTCGCCAATCATTCATAAAGTTCTCAATAAATTGTTTTTTGGTGGCATAGTCTGTGTCCTTCATCACGGCAAACATTGTTGCAACCTGCAACCAAAGATATCCAGAAAAGGAAAAAGAGGTTTGAAGATGTAAATCATCAAAAGTCCTTGCAATTTGACAAGAATTCAACAAATACTGGTCTTTTCAGAAGTACAAGAAGCAACTGCAATATGTACCAAAAGAGAGAGACAAGGGAACAAATATAGAATTCTACGATGAGGAATTGAAATATTATTTAACTCTAACCTCCTCTTGTTCAGGAGTCAAATCAACTGGCTGTCCATTGTAGAGCATTTTAACACCATGGGGCTTGTATGGAGGAGGAAAAATAACACCATTGTGCTCCAAGGTAGTCCATTTCTGGCCTCCGCCAGAACCAGGAGGCACCTTCAATGACTTTGAATATTTGAAATCCTTCATATTTGTCTTCATTTTCTTGCCATCTGTCTTAAATGATGAGTGAGTTTTATGTAACACACTCTTGCTAACTGATGTGCTGTTAGAAGACACTGTTTTCTTCATTCTTTGTGCAATTGGTATTTGATCACTGTCATCTGCCTTTATTTCTTTCTTTACAGCAATTTCATGTTTAACTTTCACAGAAGCAGGAGTTTCTGAAACTTTTACTTTCTTAATATTTGAAGATTCAGTAGGTTTAATGCCACCCAAAGGCCGCTTTTGGCCACCTTTGGGGAATGTATTGTCACTATTTCCTTCCTTCTTGCTAGAACCATGTACCTTCAATTTAGAAGAGAAAGGCTTCTCATCTGAATTGGAACCTTTCATAGAAGAACCACCAGTGGCCTTCGATTGAAACCTAGAAAGAAGTGGTTTTTCATCTTCTGAATCATCAGAGAATCCCTCGATGTTTGAATTCATCTTCATGGATGGAGGTGAAGTGGGCTTTGAAGATTGAGGTGCCTTCATGACACGTGAGAAGCCACTTTTATTAACTGCTGCTGAAGAAGAAAATTTGTAGCTCAGTGGTTTATCATCATCGGAATAGTCAGAATCCTCATTTTTTATGATTGGCTTGTCCAAATCCATCTTATCTGTACTCTTCTTTACAAACTTATGATCTAAAGAATGCATATCAATCTTCTCCAAATCTGTGGAATTTTTCTTCTGAACTGCCACAGAAACTGAATTAAGTCTATGGCTCAGTGGTTTATCATCATTTGAATCATCCAATTCCTGAACTTCAGGAGATGACTTATCCTGATGCTCCAGTCCCACATCATTGGTTGTTGATTTATGATAGGATGTATCTTGAACAGATGCCCAAGACCGCGAACTTGAGATTGCCACATTAGGCTTCTCACTTGATGGCTTTACAGTAGAGAACACTTTAGCATTTTGAAAATGAGAGTTATCACCATTACCAACATTTTGATTAGAAGTAATATTAAAACCATCATACTTTTGGGGAGCTGTCTTCTTTGAACTACAGATCAACCGACTTTGTTTTGATGAAGAGTTTGGCCTCTTAAAAATAATTGGTCCTTCATCATCTTCTCCATTGTCATCTATAACTTGATTGACGCAGCCATGAACAGACATTATTTATATTTTAGTTTATCCAAACCAGGTTCCCCCTGATATACACAAAAATGATAAATGCACAAGCAAGAAGATAGGAAAAAAGAAAGACACATTTACAATGCTGTACGGACAAGATTTTTGCAATATATTTGCAGCATAAGTAAAATTAAGGCTAAAAAGCAGGAATAACGAATCAGTTTATTCTTTGCTACTCTATCTACATGTTTTACGTTTTTCAACACTAATAGGCAGACTTCTTGATGCACATCTTTAATTAAATAAATGCCTATCTGACTAAAGAAGGTACAGATTTTTGTGTCCTGATATAGGAGAGTTAATCAAAACAAGACATCTTGAAAGCATTTGCTAGGAAAAGTTTCACGCCTCATATCAATCACATGCAGGACAATTAGATCCACCTCTCAAAAATCACAGAGACATCATCCATAAACAGCCATTCTCCATCCCTTACGAAGCCCTAAAATGAATCCTGATCAAACAGATGATTGTTGCAGCAAACATGCATCTTCAACAACTAAGCATGCACACTCCGGGACCATCTGTAACATGTACATGCACTAATTCCACTTCTAAACATCATGCCTATTGTTGACCTAGTAAACAATTAATCAGAGGCAAATATATTTAAGAAACATGGAGATTGGTCCCATCGAGAAACAAATCCGCAGCAAACAGATAGTTAGATCATTCAACAGGGTCTCACTTTTACTTAACTGATCGAACACAAACCAATAAATAACATGCCAATTGTAACTTTTTGGTGAAGCAACCTGACTTCTTCCAGGCAGAGCCTGGAAAAACTACGGGTGAAGGATCAAGAAGCGAGCTCGGGATTAGTTATGTCGGATTCTCCCCCGGGGTCAACTAGGGTTCCCCGGGAAGTAATGCTCTGGTTGGCCTCCGCTCCTTCAGCTCACCCTCTCTCCCCTGGTGGCTTCCTCCCCAAATCGGAAAGGGTTCCGTTTCTTCTTCTGACGAGTGATCAAGCCTCGCAGGAAACACCCTTAGCTTTCACGGAATTGTTATATATAATACTTGTAACGTGGGCCGGTTCGATCAGGTCGTGGTTGTATTCGACTGAGACTGAACAGATTGGGTCCATTCGCGTTCAATCAGATTACTCGATTTGTGACCCGATTTAGGACTGGAGCCAGTCTTACTTACTGGTCAACGCGCAGGATGTGGTCTTGGACAACGTGGCGTCGCTAAAACGGAAAGGTAAATCACGTGCATATCACGTGTCATGTACTCTGCCTCATTTAAAACGGCCTCGAGGGTAGTTTAGTCATTCCATTTTTCGTACCATCAACGAGAGCGAGAGAGAGGGCGGGGAGAGCGATTTGAGTTCTTGCTACCTCGGATCGCCGTTGGATGGTGTGGGACTCGTGCCATCGCCCCGGTTTCCGATCACGAGATCGCCAGCTGCGTTGATCCCCTTCTCCGGCAGTCAGACCCGGCCACCGCTTCCGTCGCTGGCGTCGTCCGGCGGTTCGAGGCCAAACTAGGGCTCGACCTCTCCCACAAGGCCGCCGCCTTCACTCGCGACCAGATCGAGCTACTCCTTGGCTCCTCCCGTTCCCCTGCTCCCTCTTCCCATTCTCAACCGCCCTTCCATCAGCAGCATCCCGCCGCCCCTCATAACCCTTACATCTTTCTCCACCACCTCCCCCGCCAACAGCAGATCACTCCTCCGAAGCCCATTTCCTCCGCGGCCGTCGCCACTCCGGCTACCTTCCCCAACCAGCACAGCCCTGGCATCGTCTTCCACCATCCACCTCCGCCTCTGCCTTCTGCCGCCGTGGTGGCGGCGTACCACCTCCAGCAGCAGCTCCACCTGGTGGCGCAGGGGGTCCCTACTGCCGTCCGGCCTCTGACTGTGTCCGCGGCTGCACAGAAGGAAAGGTGCCCTTTTTCTGACTTCGTATGCGCTCCCCTCCTTTTAGACGAGGGTTTCTGGTTGTTTAACTTTTATGCTCAATTTTTTATGCCATTGGCGTTTTTTTATTTAACCAATTTGAGCTGGTGTACTATAATTCTTCAGATTGTCTCTAATTCATGATCATAGATCATTTTTTTGCTCAAAAACTAACTAATTATTTCTGGTTAATGAACTTATTAAAGTTAGTGTGCATATAACACACTTGATCAGTCAGTTAGATTGGCCTACCACTATTAACTTAGGCTTAAATATTTTTTGTTAGTAGTTTAAACTTAATAAATTAATGAGTCAGCTATTAATTAGGATGAATCATAATAAATGATATCGAGCTGACCGAGTATTGGACATGTTGAGTAGCTTGAGTATAAAAGATCTACTTGAAAAGAGCTACCCATGAATAAGGTTAGATGTTCTATGGTGACTTATGTTGAAGCATTTTGGATCAATGAATCAATGATTCAAACTTAACAAGTATCCCATTGGGTTGGATTGTGACAGGATCAGTTTAACATCTTCTAGAAGGTGGCTGCTGTGCATGTATCCTCTTTTTTATCAACATTAAGGTTGATTTTATAACTTTGGTTTGGGTTAGGCACAAGATGAGGCTACCTTGAAAAGGATAACTTTTCAGTATCCAGTTTTTACTGTTTCCTTGGTGATTCTCACAAGTTATCTTTAATAAGGCCTTTAGATTTGAAGTTTATATCATTTTCTGATTTTTTTTGTCATTTTTCCCTAGTTGTATCTTCCTGCATGGCTTGCACTAGCACACAAGAGGTGGAGATGAAAGGCCATGTGGGTCATGCAAAATGAGTCTGACGATTACAGTAAACTTGCATGAAATAGAGAATTTTAATATTTATTTCAAAGAATTTTAAGTGCTGGGAAAGCTGATATTTTGTGTTTTGTGCCTATATAATGGCAAGGCAAACTAAGATCTATTGAGTCCTTTACTGGAGCCTTCTGGCTATACACTTGCAGCCACTCTGATAATGAAAATAGAAAGGCTTGTCAGATGGCGTGGTGAATTGATGGGAAAGAGGTTAGCTATGAGATGATGCACCTAAAGGAACAGAAAAAGAAAGTATTGCTAACATAGACAATGCTAGACAACTATAATGTTGTCTCTAGGAATAAATGCTACTTGACTACCATCATAACATGGTGAAAATCTTGAGGACAGTTTCATAACTGGTAATAAGAAAGGTCATGATTATTAATTTATGTTGAGATATCTGATTATCTTGAGAAGAAAATCTGACCCTTCTTGATTTTTATACTCTAGGTCTAAGACACATTGGGAACTACTGTTTTCTGATTATGCTGAGAAATTGATTGAACACTGACTTTGTTCTTCATTTTATTATGTTGGGTTTGTTTGATTTTTCATGAAAGAATGGATATGAATCATCATAATGTTTTATCAGTAAAAAATTAATGTGTTTGTTGACTTTCTATACCAAGAAATATGCATCTTCACTGCTTTTACATATGCTCATAAGTATGGATTTTGTGGTATTTGTGCTGGTTTATCAACATTTCTTCTTTGTGCAGTGCACCACCTAAGCCTAAAAATGAGGTGGTCCCGGGGGTCTAAATACAGTTTGTGGTGTTTCACCTGAACTCCAGCTCATTGTTGGTGAGGCAGCAATGTCAAGAACTCAGATTCCTCTATCAGTCAACTCATTTGTTAATGTGCATGACACCTTTCTGGAGTGATTTCTATTGAATTATGCATGCACTACTAATCACATATTACAATCAGATTGTGAAACAGCTATGGGCTTACATCCGTAAAACAATCTTCAATATCCTACTAACAAGAGTAAGATCATCTGCAACGATGAACTAAGGTGGGTGTTTGAGACTGACAGTACTGAAATGTTTAAGATGAACAAGCTATTATCTAAGCATATACAACCACTTGGTTATCCAAGTATGTGAATCATCTCATCTATTTAAGTGTGCATATATGTAATGACAACCTAAATGGACTTGAATCTACTTCTTGCAGAAGATACAGGTCCTGAATCTAAAAAGCTAAAGGTTGTAGATGTTGCAGCAACTGACATTACCAAACCTGATGCTGATGAATGTCCTCTTGTTATTTCTGGAGCACTGGTCAAATGATTTGGAAGTGAGGAAAGAGAAATGCTCCAATCTGAGGCTTTGAGTCGTGTGCGGGATTACATAAACGCTAACCAGCTGTAGGTAAGTTCTATCTACGTTCATTATCACAGCACTAGTTCTTTTACATCAAAGATGCACAAGATATCATGTATTCATGCATTTGAATGCTGCTTCAGAGATCTATAATATATTTCTTCTTGGCTTGTATTACGGTGCTGATATCTTTTTTCCTCTTCCAGTGTAAATTGTGGTACTTTTGTTTAACTCCTAAGGCTTTTATGGTTTTACATTTTATTTGAATGTCACCAGTATCAGAAAATTCTGATATTGCTTTCTTGGTAGCAAGTTATCTCGTGTTTCTTTGAAGAAAATCCCTGTGATTGATTAGAAATAAATCTTTCTCTTTTCAATTTGAATTCTCTGCTTTAACTTCTTTTAGGATTCTTCAAACACGTCTGTTTTATGTGGCTCTAAGCTTGAAGAACTGTTCGGGTGTGAGAGCATTCCTTTCTCAGGGATATCTGATATGTTGGCAAACCATCTATTCAGGAAGTCATGATACCATCCAGTAACTGGTTAGATTATCTATGCCTTTATCTTCTTTCGTATCGATTTTATAATACATCATCTGTATCCAGAACTATAACCCTTTGCATTTTTGTCTGATTTGAGGCCACAGTGGCAAGTTGCATTGTTTTGTTTTGGTCATTTCATGGAGTTTTTACAACTGTTTTTAATATTGAGGGCTTGCTTGATGCAGATGATGATTAGTGTTTAATAAGTGAAAAGTAACTTGACTGTCTGATGAGATGGATATAATAGCAGAAATTAGGTATAAATTTTTCTGAAGTACTGCTTCTTATGTTGCATATGTTCTGCATTGATCATGGTGAAATAATATCATTTGCACCCTTAAATTCCAGCATTTCTATAATATTTGACATAACAATTATGATTTTAGCATAGTGCAAGTCGAGTTTAAAATTTAAGTTCATTCTTTATTCTGATGATGCCTAAATCCCATGTAATCAACTTCTCTTATATTGCAAAATAATGTGTTCTAGAAGTTAGAACATCCTAGTTTCCTGCCAAAGGACATTGATATTTATGTGCATTGTTAAGCAGGCATTTAATTGTAAATATATTGCAAACTGCTGGTCCAACTTATCTCTTTTGACCTCTTCTAGAATAGAATACCCTTCGCGCTAATGATTTCTTGGAAAAGCAAGTTCACTGAAGTAACTAGAAGTTTCAAGTTTGAATCTTCCTCGGATAGCATACATAAAACAAAAGAAGAAAAAAAACGTTATATTTTGGGTATTATATTTTTTTTAATAAAGGATTCTGATTCTTTCTGGCAGTTATATCAAAATGTCCAAAAGTTGGTATTATGCTTAAATCCTTTGTCATTCTATTGCTCACAAATGGATTGCCTGATTAAATTTGTATCAACATCAGCACACTTGTTTCTCAAACCATTTCTCATCATATGCCTTTAGTGTTGCACCATAGTTAGCTGGGTTTTGGTTTGACATGGTACGAAATAATTTTAGGTGTGCAGTAGGAGGGAGGTAGTCTTATTCTTGTTGCTGCTTCAAGTCATGCTGCTGCACTCTTGCTCATTATGTTCAAATCTTTTTCTGCAGCTTATATTTTCTTTAAGATATCATTTTGTTCATATACTTAAGCAGGAATCTTGTTTTGCTCTACTCGATCTATGAACCTTCTGTTGCCTGTCCAGCCTTGAAACATCATGTTTTATGTAAACGTTAAGATGAGTTCTTTATGATATGTGGCTTGCATATAGATCATACCCATTCAATCATTTCCACAGACAGCATAAAAAGGACTAGGGTATGAAATGGGTTGTTTCTCAGTCTTCATGTGAGACTCAACTAAGTAATTGTTAAAGTCATGATCGTTGC